TAATTGAATATTTAATTTGAAGTTCAAATTACATAAAGAAAAATTTTACAATTAGATAATCAAGTTATATAAATAATCTTTTTAAGAAGTTAATTTTTGAAATTTGCTAATCATTCTAATATAATACTAGTTATAATATTACTTTGTAAAGCAGGAAATCTTGGTTTGAAACTAGTAAAGAGAGCTATTCTTCTTAGAGTACTAATCTTATATAAAATACAGATAGTTTTTCAAGGGATAATATATTAGAATAAGATTTTTTTATTTATTTTATTTGTTTATTATTATTATAACATTTTTTAAACCTTCTTCAAAATTAAAATATAATACTAACTTCTTTATTCACAAATAGTTTTACAAACCTACTAAAATTAGCTAAAACAACAAACAAATTACTCTATTTTATAATTTTTTTTTTTACTCTTTTATAATTACTATTTTAAAAACCAACTATATAACATAAAATCTTTATAATAATTCTATTTTTCTTATTAATTTTAACTTTTGTTCATATAAATAATTTTATCTAGCAAACTTATATGATTATGAAAAGCTTTTTTTTTGTTATTTTTTTCATATATTACTATTTAATTATATTTATTTTAGTATTCAAAATTAAAACTTAGCAAGCGACTTTCTACTAATCATAATTATAAATTGTTGAATAATACCAATATTGAGCAAATTGTCAAATATAGTAATTTGGCAAATGATTGGTTATATGTACAGCAAAGCAGTATATGCTCATTTGCCAAATTACTATTATTTAACAATTTTTGTTTAATATTGTATACATATTTGATATCTCTTTTAAAATTTAACATTGTTTAATTTAACTCTTTTTTCTTTAATTAAACTTCTAATTTTTTTTTTGATCAATTCGGCAGCCTTGTCCTTATTTTATTAGGCTTTATAAAATTATACTGTGAAATATTAAAATTTTTGAAGAGTATAAACTCTAATGCCACCTAAATTACAAATATTAGCTCACTTGGCTCTTTGTGACTAGAGTCCAAATTATCTATATAACCTGCTATAGGTAGGATTCTTCTTCAAATATTCACTTTTGCACTTGAAAAAAATAAATCTTCACTAGAAGGTTCTCACCAAACCATCAAGACTACTTATTCTTTCTTTTAAACTTTTTTTATCTAGATCTGATTATCTCCTACTTTTTCGTAAAGAAGAAAAAACATGCTATATCTATGAAAGAAAATAACACTATCTAGAAAAACAAAAACAAAAACAAAAAAAAAGAAAAAAAAACATTTAACTAAAAAAAAAAGATATCCTAAATATGGTTTTATCATAATAGAAAAAAGATAAAAAGAGCAAAAAAAAGATATAAGAGTCCTGATGAACCATCTAAAAAAAAAAACAAAAAAAAACAAAAAAGAAAAATACACTCATGCTAATTATAAAGGTAAAAATTATATACTAATTGCAACTAATTAATATATTTCGGCTATAAAGCTTCACTTTAACTTTGGAACTTATTCTGGACATATCACCAGAGTTGGATATCTCCTAAACAGAAGTATTGATCTTATTTTCATATCGCAGCACCATAGTGATAAACAAAACAAACATGTGGTTGCATTTTACTGAGTTTGTCTAAATTAGGTAAGTGTAAACAATGCTGATCTTTTGAAGAGAGTAAGCTAAAATGCTCACTTTTTGTCAAACTTTTTTGGTAAAGTTGGCAAAATATAAGAGAGAGAAAAAATACTTGAAACCACAAAAAGAGTATAAGTTTTTTTTTTTACTAGAATCAACTATCTACCCAAGCCTACACAGTACTAAGTTTTTTTGGTAAGTGATAAATTCTAAGCTTGTTGACAAGTAGCATATAAGAACTATTTCTAAATAACAAGTACTGTGTCTGTAGTTAGTAAGTGATAAACTCCGAGGCTATTAGCAGATAGCATATGAGAACTACCTCTAAATAATAGCATGTTTTATGTAAAAGTCATTGACTTTACTTTAGTGTACTGTTTTTTTTCTAGTAAAAAGTATTTTAGAAATTGTGGTCCAAATGATTATTAAAAAGAGTTCAGTTAGTTGAACTTCTAATATTTTAAGTTTTTACTTTAAATTCTTATTTTTATTTCAAAGACTAAATATTAAAATATTTTCATTAATATTTTTTTTTTCATTACTATTCTTTAAACTAGTGATACAGGCTGGCCCCAGCCCAACAGCCAGGCCAATGGGCAGGTCAACTATCAGCCTGCACCCTTGTGGGCCGGGCTGGTTGATAAAAGAAGTACTAGAATCGATTCTCATATACTGGCTAAAAGATTGGCTAAAAATCAACCAATCATTTATAAAAATGTAGATACTCAAGTTGGCTAATTTAGGTGATAAATTAGCAAATAACTAATACATATAAGAAATGAAAATGCCTAACATGTTCGGGTACTTACAGCTGATTTAAAAATTAGTGGGACACGTGATGAATTTTGTAATGATTGTCAGCAAATTTTAGTAATTATTTTTTGGTAATAATAATAAAGTATAGTTTTTCGATATACATATTATCGAAAAATTATACTGCCAAAAAATAATTATCAAAATTTGGATAACAAAATTCAAATCAGCTGTGAATACAAAAAGAATAAAAGCTAAATGATTTTGGTATACTAGAATTTGGCAAGGAACTACCTGGTGGCTTTCTTCATATTTGATATGGATATCGAGACTAATTCTTATTAGAAAAATTTATATTAGCAAAAAAGTTTGGCCCGGTTGACCAGCCCGAGCTTTTTTAGGATCGACCCTGGCAATGATTTTTTCATTAACCCGTATCACTACTTTAAACCCTAATATTACTACTAGTTTACTTATCACTCTTCTTCAGAAAAACTGATACTAGTAACTTTATATAAACACTTGTTAACTGACTTCTCTACTGAAAGATTATTTTTAACTTAAACTACTTTTTACAAGTTTCTTTCTTTTTTGGTGGCAAACTTCATTTGAAACTTCTCTTTAAATGACTTCTGAATTTCTTTTTTTGCTCATTTTGCTAAAAAACTTAAATGAAATTTTTAACAAACCTAAATTTAAAACATATATATATTGCATAATACAAAATTCTCCAACAATCAACATAAAGTTAAATCAAGTAATTTGATTTATAAATCTTATCTAAATCAAATTTTCAAAAAATGTATACAATTTATTTTTATAACTTTACCAGTAATAGCATAATAGTTATGGCATATAGCCAGAGCTATATGTTCAACTCCCATTGGTAACATGCTAGGCCTAGTGCACCAAGAAAGCATTACCAACAAACCTTTTTATTATTTTTTTTATTTTTATTTTTTTGTTCATTATTATTATTATATTTTTTATTTGACTTTTATTTATTTTAACTACAATTATTCTAACTTTATTATATCTTTATCAATCCACTTAGCTATATATATATATATATTCTATTAAGTTAGATATTTATATGTGGTACACATAAAATAGGTTTGGGCGAATGTCATGGGCTAAAAGGTAGATCTTCATTATTGGCATAGTAAACCTGAGATTAACGAAATAATCACCCATCAAATACTGGCTTTTCGGTTGAGGCATATCGGCTGAATACAATCAACAAACCAATGTGAAATCTGAAGAACAAGTATGCATAGAAGAAAGACCAAAATTCAAGAAATCTAAATAAGAGAAGAAACCAAGAATCAAGAAATATTTACAAGTGGCTTTAAGATAAAATCTTAAAAAAAGTGAAGCAAGCCTTATTTTTATTATAATCATGTCATTGTAAGCCCCTTAGAGTTAGTTCTCCTTGATTCTTCAATGATGTAATCTTTAATTTATTCCTAAGCCTCTTGGATTCGTTAGAGTAGTTAAAGCTATAAAAGCACTGTATTTTCTCTCTTGTAAAAGATACTAATAATTCCTACATATTAGATTAAATAAATTACCTTGAAAAATTCATTTAAAAAAAAAACAAATTATTGTCAAATCACCATCGTCACGCCTCTGGCGAATGCCTTATATTGTATAAAATCTATAATTTTCATGTATATATTAGTTAAACCTACGATTCACCCCGTAACAGTAGGTGGATTCAGTTAATGTCAGTCAGCACGCACTATCTGTACGTAAACGATTTGCATTTAACATTTTGATCTTGAGATTTATTGATTACTATTTTTATTTTTTACTGTAAATATTACTGTACGCATCATTTTTTGGTTTGTACGCTTAAACATTTACTACTTTGTTTCGTATAGGTTTTGAATAATATTTATTACAGTTTAAAGAATGACAAGACCGGCTAATTAATAATGTATAGAAAACAAGAATAGGTAAAAAATATAGTATTCCAAAAAATACCAAAAAATACAGTAGAATTGTTCTAAAATGGCATTGTGAAAAACAATGTTTACAAAGAACGCATTACAGTCAATCTTCTATATTTCCAAGGAGGTGCATTCATGAAAGGTTGACTATATAATCTAATTTAAAAAGCGATTCTACTTAAATACTTGTTGATGTATTTCGGAAATGTAATAAAATTCAAAAATCATAAAATATTTGACGATCAAAGAATTCTTAGAATTTTTATTTTCGACCACCACGAGGACGACGACGAAGACGACGAGAATGACCAGTCCTTTCTACTAAAAAGAAGAGCATACGTATGTATTAGGATCTAAATATAAGTCGTAATTTTGTACTAACGCTAATGGGAATAGTTTATTGTTTGAAGATCATCATGCTTATTTTTAAGTCTCATTACTTAACCGATTACTTTAAGTTCTTCAAACATGATGAGTTAACATGATGAGGTTTAAAATGCATACCATTTGAACCCGATACGCTTTGAACCGATACACTTGGGGCCGATACACTTGGAGCCGATACACTTGGAGCCGATACACTTGGAGCCGATACACTTTGAACCGATACACTTTGATCACCATCTCCACATTTTCTTTTTTTCTTTTTTCTTTTTTTAATGATGGTTTTATGATCATATGGATTCAAAGTTTGATCATATCTATCTAAATAATATACTAATTTTATTTCCAGAAGTTTTGTATTTTCGTGGATTGATTGTACCAAATAATCAGCTTCATCTTTCAAGTCATCATAAACAGCTTGAACTTGCATTGGATCTAAGGGATCATCTGAAAGCATTGGGTCGATCTCGTCTAAACCATTTGTTACGTCTGCAATATCTGTTTCTAGCCAGAAATTATTGTTGCAGAATGGACATAGATAATCGTTGCAGAATGGAAAGTTCATGATTATATACGGTGGAAATTATATATGGTGGAGATGGTGGAGACCTTGTGCGAATGTTGCGAATGTTGCGAATGCTTCAGAAAAAGATTTAATAGTATTTGGATTTCAAAATCAAAGTTCACACCAAATTAAAAGGGCCCAAGTATTCGTTTTATTTTTATTGTTTATAAATTTAGAAGTTTGATATTCTGATATTCGATAGTGATGCAGGGTAATTATTTCCACGATTGTGAAAATGATTCCCCAATCGTGGAATGATACAATGATGTGGAAATGATCGTTAACAGTTTTAGAAATTTCACACTTACATGAGTGTGGAAATAATTCCCCTGCATCACTAGTATTCGATTTATAAGTTAATATTTATAAAAGACGTTAATCATGATTCCAATTGAGGAATCATGCAGTTTGTTATTCTGTTATTCGATTTATAAGTTAATATTTGGTTTTGTTTACAAATTTAGAAGGAATCATGTTGTATATATATAGTAATAATGTACTGTACGTACGTACGTACTAGG